ATTATGACAAAAGTTAACCTTGAATAACTTTTTTTGAACATATAATTTACTTCAATATGTTCCTTGTGAAAGACCCACAAAGCACTTTTACCCTTTGACCTTGACCATAATAACTACTTGACCCCACAAATAAATTCAATTAACCCCACAATATACCATTTGTTTGAATTCCTAATGAAGATCTCACAATTACTTGTAAAAATTTGCAAAATAATAACCCCGCACCTTCCGAAAATGCACACACACTCAACTGTATAAGTCCGTCAGTCTGTCCGTCACAAAAACTTTAACCTTGCCCATAACTTTTGATTTAGTGGAGCTATGACTTTCATATTTCACATGTGTATTTCTTGTGACAAGACCTTTCTTTGGGTACCACTAAATTTGACCTTTTGACCTTGACCTTGGAGTTTGACCCAATTTTACACAAAAATTCTTAACTTTTACTTTGGCCATAACTTTTGAATAGTAAGAACTGGACTTTCATATTTCACATATGTATTGTTTGTGACAAGACCTTTCATTGGATAACAACAACCTTGACCTTTTGACCTTGACCTTGGAGATTTACAAACTTATAAAAAACTTTAACCTTGGCCATAACTTTTGAACATTGAGGACTAAGGCTTTCTTTCTTCACATATGCAATCCTTGTGAGAAGGCCTTTCATTGGATATCAATATCTTTTACCCTTTGACCTTGACCTTGGAGTTTTAACTACTTAACAAAAACTTTAACCTTGGTCACAACTTTTAAACAGTAGATACTAGGACTTTTATATTTCACATATGTATTGTTTGTGGTAAGACCTTTCATTGGATAACAACAACCTTGACCTTTTGACCTTGACCTTGGAGATTTAAGTATTATGAAAAAACTTTAACCTTGACCATAACTTATGAACGGTGAGGACTAAGGCTTTCGTACTTCACATATGCAATCCTTGTGAAAGACCTTTCATTGGATACCAATGAACTTTAACCCTTTGACCTTGACCTAAAATTTTCAAAAATTTTAACCTTGGTCACAACTTTTAAACAGTATACTAGAAAAATATGTATTCCTTGTGGCAAACATTTCATATGGTGAATAACCTATGTTGTTTACAAATTTTCATGAAAAAACTTTAACCTTGACCAATACTTTCTGAAATGGTGAGGACAAAGTCTTTCGTACTTCACATATGTAATCCTTGTGAGAAGACCTTTCATTGTGATACCAATAACTTTTACCCTTTGACCTTGACCTTTGTTTTAACTACTTCAAAAATTTTTAACCTTGGTCACAACTTTTAAACAGTAGATACTAGGACTTTTATAATTCACATATGTATTCCTTGTGGCAAGACATTTCATTGGATACCAACAACCTTGACCTTTTGACCTTGACCTTGGAGATTTACGTACTTATGAAAAAACTTTAACCTTGACCATAACCTTCAAAAGAAATCAACTTCAATGTTACTTTCTAAATAAATGACATATGATAGGATGTTCATATATTATTACACACAATATGTCATAAAAAATAACATCTCACCAACAAAGACAGCGAAAGCGGGGGACCACAATTCTTTGAATTTGCTTGTTACAATTTAGAATCTACACTACCCCAGGATGCTTCCACATAAGTTTCAGCTTTTCTGACCCAGTGGTTCTTGAGAAGAAGATTTTTTAATGACCCCACTCTATTTTTGTCGTTTCTTGATTATCTCCCCTTGTGAGGGGACTTGGCCCTTCATTTTAACAATATAAATTCCCCTTCACACAAGGATGCTTTGTACCAGGTTTGGTCAAAATTGGCCCATTGGTTCTTGAGAACAGAAGTCGAAAACCTGAAAAGTTTACAGACGGACAGACAGCTAGACAGATGGACATTACTCTCTGAGGTTGAAAAACCTAAAATTAGATTTAACCTCACAAGACTTTGTCCAAATTTTTGGACATGTCCTTAGCCCAAAACGCTGAGACATTCAGAAAACTGCTGTTTAGAGGAGTTTGGTAATTGATTTGAAGAGTTCCGAATATCTGAGCATGCATACATATTTAAAACTAACTGCGTATGCGCAGAATACGGAAGTAGCTGTGTTTGGACACTTCGTATTAGCAGTGAGGAAATTCGGAAACACAAAAAGCAAATGCAGTAAGTCTTACTATTTTGTTGCACCACATTGAAAAAAAGCTTTGTAAGTTGTTTGTCATGTTTCATACGTACATTATGCAGTTGTAGAATTTATTTAAAGTCGAGGAAAGGAAATCTGTAGTCCACATAAACATATACCTATTGAAAACGGGCTTTTGTAAAACAAAAAAAAAAAAAAAAAAAAAAAAAAAAAAAAAAAAAAAAAAATAATAATAAATAATAATAAATGCACTGATAGTTCTTTTTTAATCAGAGGTCTGCAATGAAAATCGACCGACACCCGGAGGTCGGGCTAGTGGTTTTCTGCAAGTAGGTCGCCCCGTTGGCAATTAAAAAAAATAATATTATTACACATGCAATACATGAAAAGCACAGCTGGTACGTATTTTCACTCGTTTTTTGCTATAAAAATCCCAACCAGTTAAAATTTTTCATATAACATGCTCCAACTGTCAATAAATCTCCATAATTATGTTCCCCAAACGAAGTTTGGGAACATATTGTTTTTACTTTTTCTGAATTTTCTTTTCTGAATTTTGTTCTCCGGTACTATTTGTCTGCGAGTGTTCTCGTAAACTACTCATCCGATCTAGGTGAAACCATTTTAGGGTCACTAGCTATGTTATGTAGATGTGCGGAACGAAGGTCATTTTGCGCTCACGTGCGTGCATGTGCGCACACGTGTGACACGTGCAATGGCCAATTTAATAGATATAGCCTTAACTTTTTTAATTTTTGATGAAATGCTTTGAAATTCATAATACAAGGATATATCAGTAGTAAAGACATGATGACATGGTAAAAATAGCAAGATCTCACGCGCATGCACGTGCGCTTCACTCCGATTGGCTGAAACTAAAAGTCAAAATATCTTTTTTGTTTTCTGACAAAATCCTTTGAAATTTTGAACATCGTCATACATTATGAAGATCTACAGTGTGATATATAAGAATAATCATAAACGCACGCACATGGACGTGTGCTGCAATCTGATTGGCTAAAACTTTAGATGCCTAAATTCACAGATTCGTGTTGTTTGTGGGTTTTATGAGATTGATCAAAGTTCGATATCTTTACCTTTTTCATTAAATAAATACATTAATTTAAAGAAAGGTGTATCTTATTGCAGAATTTTGAGGAGGAATACTCCTTAAACACGTTTAAATTAAACATTTTCCTCTAAATTTATCTGTGGAAGAATTTCGCAATTTTAGATCTAGGATGGTCTTCATGTAGTGTTTTGGTGTCTCACTCAAAAGAAATAATTTAATATCAATGCTTGAATTCTATGTTATTTAAGAAAAAGTTGGGACAAGCATATTTTTTGGTAGGACAAGTAGTTTTACGATGGTAACCTGTCTGAGGGCAAGTACTGCAAAATTCTATTTGTCTACCCCTGGTTTAATGCATTTTGTGCGGGCGCATGTGCATGCACGTCCTTGCATTTACTTTTGTTAGTAGCATAATGTAGGCATTCATTATATCTATTCATATTCGAAATTTCACCCTGTTTTATTGAGAACTAAGAAAGTTTTAGGCATTTGAATAATCAGTAGTGCCCCTATCACACATGAACCCCTGACCCTAGGTCAACACTTTGCACAATTTTTGAAAAGGCACACTTGCTTATATGACTAAACAAAGCTTTTCTGTTATTGAGATTTTCCGTTTATTTTCCAATGTAAAACTCTGATCCACTATTGAGACCTTTCCCTGCCCTTGGGGGTTAAATGTATAATTTGAACAAATTTAATTCTACAATACCTGAGGATGTTTCATATAAATATCACTAATCATGGCTTTGCTATTCTTTAGAAGATTTTTAAAATATATTCTAATGTAAAACTTGGATCCCCCATTGTGGCCCCACCCTATTCCCAGGGGGTTATGATTTGAACAAACTAGAATCTACACTTCCCAAGGATGCTTCCACATAAATATCAGTACTTGAGAATTTTTTTTAAAGATTTTCCTTTATATTCCTATGTAAAACTTTAATCAGACACTGTGGCCTACCCCAACCCCAAGGGGTCATGAATTGAAGAAATTTGAATGTACACTACCTAAGGATGATTCAACATAAGTTTCATCTTTCCTGTCCCTATGGATCTTGAGAAGAAAATTTTTTGAAATTTTACCTTTACCCGGTATATTCCTACGTAAAATTTTGATTGGCCATTGTGGCTACCCAGGGGGGTCACGATTTGAACAAACTTGAATGTACACTACCTGAGGATGATTCAACATGAGTTTCATTTTTCCTGTCCCAATGGTTCTTGAGAAGATTTTTAAAGATTTTTCCTATATATTCCTATGTAAAACTTTGATGACCCATTGTGGCCACACCCTACCCTGAGTGTCATGATTTGAAGAATCTTAAATTTACACTACCTGAGGATGATTTCACATGAGTTTCATCCTTTCTGGCCCAGTGGTTCTTGAGAAGATTTTTTAAAAATGCCATTAATTTTTCCTAATTCATAATTATCTCCCCTTGGAAGAGGGTGTTGCCATTCAGCTGAACAAATTTGAATCCCCTTTACCCAAGGATACTTTGTAGCAAGGTTGGTTGAAATTGGCCCAGTGGTTCTTGAGAAGAAGATGAAAATGTGAAAAGTTTACAACAATTACTGCAACAACGACAATGACAGACAACGAACAAATTTTGATCAGAAAAGCTCACTTGAGCCTTAGGCTCAGGTGAGCTAATAAAAACAAATATTTCTGTAACATGCACTACACCATATACAAATATTGCACAAACACTTTATATTCCATATTCAACACCAATTCTAAACTGAGAGATGGTCTAGAGGGGATTTAGATATTATACATTCAGAGTTAGAAAGCTGCCTGACCTGAAGTGTTTTAGGAGCCTTGAACGGATGGGGTTCCTGCCTCCACCTAGTGGTCCACAGGCTGCCACCACATGGACGTTATAAATATCCTAAAATTCATATATTCTCAGTGTTCAGTAAAACTAGACTACGTATTTCACAAGTTAAATAAGCCCAACTTACAAACTAAGAAACACTCAAAGTCACTTCTGCAACTTTGGATATACATTTCATTGTTCTACAATAGATTTACACACATAATGATACATGTATTTATTTTCATACCTCCCATACAAGATGAGCTTTCCCAGCATGATAAAATCCACCAAGTTCCAAGAACTGCATCAGTAACTCTAGGGGTGGCTGGGCTCCATATACCTCAGCGGCCGGCATGTTCAAATCATCCACAAACACCAGCACCTTTTTCCCCCAGGGAGCCCCCAGTGTCCCTGCCCTTCTTGATGAGTTTGTGCATGATGTGAGCCTTAAGTCTAGCTGCTGTCGTCTGAGCTGAGAACTGAAACATAAAACTGATCACTCCAGCAGAACTTTTAGGTTTGGCTGTTCCCAGAAGGACGTTGATACATTTGGACTAGTCATTGTTGTCCATTTCTGTGAGTTTTGAGATACTCTCCAGTAGCGTGTTGGTCTTGTCTGAGTAGCTGAGGATCTGACCCAGCACGGTGCCACTCTTAGTGGATGTTGCACCATCTTATCCCAGTCTGCCTAACATGTGGTTAATAATGGCCGACTTGCCAACTCCAGATTCTCCTAAATAGTGGAAATGAACAGTTTTACAGAAAACAATTAAAATAAACATAAACATAGGTAATCAGAGACTACAGAGCTCACCTCAATGAATGTTGTCTTT